AGGAGATCGGGCTGAAACTATAGCTACAAGCTATCCAAGGATGGTACTATAGAATGTCACCTCAAGGTAGGCCTAGTGGCGTCATCTCTTGGTTAGGCCGGAAACTTATCAATCCACCCTCGTATATACTTTTCAACGTAAAATCCAAATGTAATATCACATTCTCATTGGGTATTATCTGATTGATACCAAGCAGCAAACACATCCTCTATATTAGGGTCAAAATAGGGAAAAATGGTGCACATCTGTAAGGGAGTGAAAACTATAGTTATAATACAAAATTAAACCACACAATAACTCCAGTAATTGGTAACGAATCCTGAACTCTCTTAGTTTTGCCAATATGAATATACCATAAATTTGTTACGAGCGAGTCTGCTGTAAAAGTAGTCGCTTACAGGATGAAAAACTACCCCTTTTCTTGGATTGTAAACTTAAAATAGGGAAAGAATAGCGATTGTACCAAATATTGTATTTTGATTGCTATAAATTTGAATGTGATAGTTTAACTAGTACTTATTTCTGCATTTATTTTGTGATTGACCTACGATGGGACAGGACAACGGGGTGAAAGCATTGGTGAATCTTCACCGCAAGGTCACATGAGGAATAAAAGGAATCAAGACGCGGTGACGTACGTTTAATTTTAATTTTCTCTGGTTTAATAAATTCGATAATTATTTTGCAATTACTATCGAAATACAATTTGTGACACATGCGACGTTTTCTCCCTAACTCCCTAATAAGGGGTAGTTTTTCAGTGTGTAATCGACTATTTTTATAGACTAGGTCGTAACAGATTTATGTTTTCTTCATATTAGTAAAAAGAAGAGTATTGATGATATTATCTAATTGCTTGAATTTTTGTATAAGGGTAGTTTTTATTTTTTATAGGTGTGTTTCAATTATTTTGTGCAAGTATTTGTTGGTCCATTCAGTCTAGAGATTTATATTAAATTCCGTCAAACTATTATAATTTTTCCTAATTTAGAGATAATAAACGATCATATAGTTTTTTCCATTTTATAGGTTTTACGTCGAAAAACATTGAGAATATCGTATTCCACCATTAATAGTAATGTAGAGCTTAGTTTAAAACAAAATTTGAAGGCGAGAATGCGGATGCTTTTTGACCTATTCTTGCGGTTACTATACTTAGAATAAATAATGTTTAATAACTGTGCAATAAATAATTGAAAGGATTCGATACAAATAAAGACATATTTTTTGTAGTTACTTAAAAGAGGTTATTTTTTTCAGCTTTTCTTCGAAGGAATATATCATCGGTGACAGGTAGTTTTAAAATTGAATTGCGTATGTATTAGGTACATGAATGAATGAAAAAAAAGTCTAAAAGTAGCCCCAAGAATCTATTTGTTAATTGCCACGTGTTCAAAGTTAAAAATGAAATAATTTTAGGACATCGTCACTTTTAATTTGAGAACCGCCCTAGAAACAGAACGAGAAAATGTATGAGAGCGAGCGAGATAATAAGAGCTATTGCATCCAGAACCATACACAGGAACCATCAGCATAGTTCCGAAAGTAAAAAGCAAATAAACTGGGAGCCCACATTTTCGTCTGAATCATTTGTACTGCGTAAAATGACTGACTAATCGAAAGCGTTTTGCAAACATTTTGCTGTTATTTCGATATGTTTAATGGAATGCCAAAGTTCCTCGACATGTTTGTCCAATAAATCGCCTCTAATAAGAATTTTCTGCTACAAGCATAAACCTAGCGATTTTTGTTTTACTAAAAGGTGCAGAATCCACGCAGCCAATCTGATCGAACACCCACCTCGTTCGAATTACTTCATTGCCCACGAACTATCAATATAATCGGTACGCGTTTCAAAAAAACAACGCCAATATTTATATTTATCCTAAATTAAAAGGAAATCAAATAAAAAAAAACAGATCCAAACCCAAAGTAAAATAATTTATCAGGTAAGAAACATTTTTAGATTTCGTCGTGGCCTTTTGTTTGTAGTACGTCTATCTGTTTATTATAAAGCAATTGAAGATGCCGACAGTTAGGCATCGCGAAACGTTCGGGTGCTAAAAACGTAAGACATTACTTGTGAATCCTTACTTGCCTTATAATATCATCGACAATTAATTCTCGGTCTCATCGTTATGAAAATATTCATAATAATTAGTTTTGTCACTTAGTTATTTTATTTCAGAAAGAAAACACTGGCGGCGGAAGATAGATCAGGGGATTCGGCTGACATTTGCGGTAACTCCATCATCAGCAGAAGTAGAGCAAGGCGAACTGCGTTTGCTACTCCCACCTATGGAAAAAACCTCGCCCAGGATTCAAGTGTTTCAAATCCTTGGAGTACGCCGTCGTAAGTTGATACACGAGGGTATAGCGTATGGGTCGTCTACGCAGCCCAAATGGCACGAAATTGACGTAACTGCTGCCGTTCGATCATGGATCAACGGCAATCGAAATTTAGGATTAGAAATTGAGTGTTCAGATTGTACCAAGATTGTTAACCCACTTCACACTTACCTAAACGTTTTAGTTCATACGGATCTGAAAAGGAGAAGAAGATCGCACTCGAGCACTTACGAGCAGGAGGGAAAAACAGACTGTAGGCCAAAAGACAAGAAACGACGATGCTGTCGACATTCAATGACTGTCGTTTTTAGTAAATTGAAAGTACCTCAAATAAACTCGATCATTCAACCGAAATCGTACGAGGCAGGATTCTGTAAAGGACGATGCCCTTTAAATTACAATCTAGCCACAAATCACTCAAGAATACAAAGTTTGGTGCATCGAGTCGATAAATCCAATGTCCCTAAAGTTTGTTGCGCCCCTTCCAAATTGGCCCCACTTGATATACTAAGGGTCAATCCCTATGACGTAACGAAACTGACTGTGGAGAAGTGGGATAACATGAAAGTTCTTGAATGTGCCTGTTCCTAAATGATATTGCCAAAGATGAACTCATATAATTTGACCCCCGGCTAATTTTTTAGGTATTTCTTGTACCCTCTTTACTGCCTTTATTCAAAAATTTGAGTTACTAGGTAAACAAATTTTTAGATTTTTTCATTGGTTCTAAGAGAAAAACAAAACATTTAAATTTTTTTTACTTACAAACACAATAATTGTCTGCCATATTTGAAACTTGTAAAGAAAATAAAAAAAACTCGAGAACTTGCCCTTCTTCCAATGCATAAATTGACCTTTAAGCGAACAAAATACTACAAGGAACTTGAAGGAAGTAAAAAATATCGAAAAAAATTGTTTCGTCTCTTTATTTCAACCATGTGTTTTCTAGACACTGGAACAAAGAACACTTACTCCGAAGGCATTCTTGTAGATCCCCTTTTTTCAAATAGTGGTAGTTTCTTTACTTTTATATTTAATGGTGAAATTTAACAAAGCAAACTGAAAATTTCCAATACTAAAAATGTTTTGTTTCAAAAAAAGATAATATTAAAGTTGCTTTAAATAGTTTAACTCATAAATCCATCTGAAGTAATAAATTTTCATTTAGTCTTGCGTATTTGGTCTTGGTCCATACTCGATTTTGGTTTTAGTCTTGGAATTGTTTGTTTGCAAGACTAAGACTAAGATTGCAAGATCAGGTCTAATTTTGGTCATCACTAGTTCGCATGAAGAGTATGAAGAATCTAAGTGTACACACCTAGTATTTAAATACGTAGTAGCAAAAAGCGTATGAATAAAACACGTCAAATAAATTAAATCAACTTGGTATAGGGTTTTTCCATTTAATTTGGAAATTATTACCTGGAAAATTACACGGACAATTACCCAATTCTGACAAAAAAGATGTTAATCAAGCTTAGCAAAAGTGTCATAGGAGATATTGGGGAAAGTAATTAGAATTTTAGCGTTAATTTTCATCAAATAGATATCTACAATACGTTTAATTTTAATGTATAATACCTAGTGAAAATATCAGATGCTTATTTTTTTTATGAGTTTAGAATAACATTTTAATAACAAATAAACTAATGTCTGAAAGTCAATAAATGTTATTAGTGCAAAAATAGTTTAGATAATACCTAAACAAATTTAGTAAACTAACAAAGACGGGGGTCAGACAATTTATCCTTTTGTCAGTTTTGTACGGGTTAATAACTGCATTTACTGATCTGTTTGTTAGGTAGCTAAAAGTTTATTTTACTGTGATATTACCGTATATATAGATGTGTAAATTTTCTTACTTACTATTAGTTATTTATGTATATTTATTTAAAACAATTTAGCATGTAAACTCAGTCANCAAATAAACAAATTATTTCTAATACACCCTCATTTTTAATATCGTTTTACGTTCACTAACCCTTTTACAATATAAAGTTACGATTATGTAACATCAAGGAAAACCTACTGATTTTGTATCACTCTTAAGTTTTACGTAAGGAAGGGGGTAATTATGAGGTGTATGCACACTTACTTGTGCTGAAATTTATTTCCTTAATTTTCAATATTCCGAAAGAATTATTTCTTATAGATTTTACAGAAACAATGAACAAATTATTTACACTCTGGCATTTTTAATATTATTTTTCATTCTGTATCCCTTCGACAACATAAAGTTATGATTACGTAATATCGAAGGAAATCTATGCATCGTCTCTAGAAAATTAAATTGTTAAAATTTTTAGTACAAATACAATGTTTATTCGCAAATAATGAGCTTTCGTGTACTTTCGGCTCAAAAATATGCCGACATCTCCGTGTAGATACCTAAGAGGATTGATCAATCTGGTGGATTAATTTTCTTCTTAAAAGGGTTGTTATTGTGAATTGTCACGTTTAATGTTTGAGTGTCGTATTTGGGTTATTCCATATCTTGCTTTTTTCTACTGCGATTGCTTCAAATGTCTATATAACTTCCGTTTCCTTGTTATTATATCTGACGCAAGATTTGCAAATAGATAATGAGATAATACAGTGGAATTTCTACTATAAATTAGCAATTGTCGAATGTAGCAATACAATTGCCACGCTAATTATAGACAGAAATTATGTATATCCATAGCAGGCACATCATTATAAAAAACTATCTTTAACGGTCGAATTTCTTCGAAGAATGAGAAATGATGTTGTATGATTCATCATCAAGAGCAAGAGAACAGTTTCAATTACATAATAATACGAATCAGTTAATTTTCATGTCGAGATATACTTACACAATATGCACAAAAAATCGCGATTAAAACAGTGTCATTTAAACGTTATTGAAAGACAATTAATCCGGGGACTTTTTTAATGATCCACGTATAACGAGAAATGTACGTTATAATTACCATGACAGGACTCGAAGGTATTGTGACGGACTACTATTTACGGAAATGATACCCTACTTAAAGTCAATTAAAAATAATTATTAGCAAAAAAAATGTTGTTTGTTATTATACCACGTCTTTCAGACATACAAAAGTATTGGTAAATATTTTTAGAGCAATGAAAATTTCTAAAGTTTTACCAATTTTGAAAAAGTAGAAGAAGCCTTTTCTGTAATTTTTAATTTGATTTTGAATTTTTTCAGTTTCCTTATCCATTGTCTTCACAAAATCAAATTTAATGTACAATAGCATAGTCAATTATCAATAAATTATATTCTATTAACTAAATTAATATAAGAATGGAATTTATATTGTTCCTTTAAATTAAATTTTCTTACTATTTACCCTCTTTAAATCATATTCTATGGTGTATCCAAAGCTATTTGTGTTTTTTTTTATGAAATAAGGAAATATACTTAGGTACACGTGTCGAAATTATCTTTTTTATTTCGCAAAGCTTACGAACTAAATCTTATAATATCAATAGCTATTCTAAAAACAACGATTGCTTAGAAAANATTATGTTACATTAATTTTTTTTGTCACGCGTATGTCATAATTCATATGTTAAGATAACATATGGGTGCCCACATACACTTAAGAATTATATTAGACGCGAATATAAAAAAGCCTCTTTACAGACATGTGCAAAATGATGACTTTTTTGTGGATGTTTTCTGAAAGTCTGATTATTTCAACATACGGCCATTTTAGGTATTTGTACCTTTCATTTTTTTCTAACATTTAAAATACAGAACGTTTTAACTCTTGTTATTTTTTACTTCTTTTTGGAATATTTCAAGATATAAATTACCTTTAAAAAATTAGGACATGACACAAAAAAGTCAACGTAATTAGTAAAACACGTGATCGATCATTTTTTGGTGAAACGTGTTTAGAATTAAAACAAATTTTCCTTTTTACCCCCTTACATCCTATTCAATTTTCCTTTGTTGTTTTTTTACAAAGTTGTTCTGCCTCTATTATTGCTTTTGTTGCTTTGTTTTTAAGTAAGTATCTAGGATGTTTTTGTTAAAAAAATTATCAATTTCGTCATTCTAAGATTGAATTATTGGAAGAAGAAAACAACAATAATATCAGGGATAAAAAAGAAACGTTGCCGTTGTAGTTAATTGTTTTTTTTTTTGGAATCGCGAGTAGCAATATTTTTTTACGTATAAAAGTTATTACTTTCCAATGAGGTGAATATTTTGAAAATTGAACTATAACAAAGCGGTGAATTGGAATTAATAAGCGCAGTAATTAATAATTATCACGTTGCACTTTGGTCCTTGGAAGTGTCTGAATAAACTCTGATAAATTTATAATGTGTTTAAACAGTTGTGCTACAAACGAAATCGACTGCCCGAATCCAGCAGGCAACTTGATTAAGTTGCATTAGGTTAGGTTGGGTTTTTTTTTTTTTTATTTCGTCAAATAGACCGCTTGGGAACTGCGGTCAATTTGTCGCGAATAAACTAAATTTATCGATAAAAATATTCTAACGACTTACTTAATAATTGTGTGCTGATGTCAGTCAAAATTCTGTGAATGCAAACACCACCTAGGGCCATTAAGATAAAATTTAACAACAATAATTATATTATAATAATTGTATAACAAAATTATTCTATTTTAACAGCGTTTTTTTACAGTACAGGTTGGCAATCATTCAACGGTATTTTCTATACTGCTTTAACTACGTTTTAATCACATGATATGGGTGACATTTTTGTTTACAATATATTTATGATAATAATTGATAACGTTAACGATATAATATCTATCAATACCAACGTAAAACCAAAATAGCAAAATTAGTTTAGTTGACAGTTAGTTTAGCCGTAAACCAACAAACAGTTAAATATTGCTCTACAATAATTGTTTTTATTTTTGTATAAAAAAAATGCCACTCACACAAATTTACAGCAATTGTATGAGGAATTAAATCATTTAATAGCAAAAATTTTCGCCCCTCCCCTTTATGCAGTCTAAGTAGCATGTGAAGATAGCTTGAAGACATTCATTGATAAAGCACCATAAAGGAATGCGTAACATTTGCTTAAGTTTAAAAAAATTTTTTCATTCTTCGCGTTATCTCTTTTAATCATAGCTCGCGTGCATTGGCATATGTAACACTTATCTTATTCACGAACTTTTCTCATTGCATTAGTCAAAAAATTAACAAATTGTTATAACTAATACAAGTAAATGGAAGAAATGTAGAACAGAAAAATGTAAATTATTATTTCGTTAGTTTAAGAACGTATTTTTTATGAGAACTACTTGGGAATTGTTGCTCTCATTTAAAATAAATAAATATGTCAAAAAATATATAGAAATTGAATAAACTGTTAATTACTGGTCATAATGCTATTTTCTCTTTGGTTTTCTTTTTTGACTGTTAGTAATGCTTGTATATCGGGTGTACGGGGTGACCCATTTAAAAAGAAGTACTTGAATAACTGCGAGGGAAAGACTTAAATCGAAAAAGGGTCAGACAAAAGTTGTAAGGCATCCAGGGGAAACCAAATTAATAATAATATTGAATTTGACCTTAAGGTCGAATTTCAATGTTATTTCGAATTTAAATAGTTAGTTTTATTTCTGAATTCGAATTCTAAGAGGGTGTAAGTTTCTACGTTCGGCCATACTGTATTATGATTAGTATTAAAGGTTATTTCAAGGTAATTATAAGTCAAACGGGCAAAATAATGAATTTTTTGTTTTTTTTTTTTCCTAATTTAGAGCCTACCATGAAGCTATTTCGTGAAATTTAGAGATTATTGACATGCATGATTGAGTATTGACTTTGAATATTACCTCAGGGTTAAGAGTCAAAAAATGTATAACTTGTTGCATTAAGGGAACATTCACCCTCCGCTCTAAAGTCTAAACTGAAAACAAAAACAAAAAATTCCATTATTTTGACATGTCAATCTTGGAATTACCATGAAATCACCTTTAATACTTATCATAACACGATATGACCGATTTAAAAAAAAAAAACGACTTAACCTTGAAGTAACTTTGAAATTGAATCTCAAGATCAAGTTCAGGTTCATCTTTCGATTTCCCTCTGAAAGCCATGTAGCTTTTGTTAAACACTTTTTTGATTTAGACCTTTTCGCAGCAGTTATTTAAGTGGTTCTATTAAAATGGCTTACCTCGTAATTAAATGTAATTTAATTAAGTCTAGTAATAGCAACATGAGCAGTAAAACAGTTTAATACCGCCCTCGAAAGTACATTATCTCCTTCAAACTACACAGCACAGTTCTTAAACCATTCGCATCATTCCTTTCACTCTATTTCAGCTGAGTTCTGAATCGAATATCGAACTAAACGAACACAATGTCAGTTGTTTTATTTCGATGTATACATAGAGATATCAATTAATTAACTTAATTTATATCAGTAAACAGCTGAAACAAAATCTTTTTATCAGTCTAGCAATTATTACATACATGCAAAGTCCGTTTATTCGTAGGGAGGGACGGGCCAGTCTCATACATCTGCCGACCGCGAACTAAGACTTGGTGTACGGCTGTGTAAAACAACTTTGTGCCCATTTTTCGTAACGAAACCATCACTTTCTACAAGAACTGCTGTCTGTCTTGCTGCAGGTTCACCCTCACCGTCACCTTCACCCTCACCTGTACCTTCACCATCCTCGTCTCCGCCATCATCATCTTGTGGTTGAGCTGCATCAATTTGTTCAGTTTCACCACTGCGTCTCTGCTTATATTTTCGCCATGCATTTTGAATTAATCTGGCCGAATATTCCTCGCGTTGGCGCCACAACGTCGAACTTACTGGTTCGTAACCGGGAGTTACTGGCTTCTGTTGCACTTCGGTTATTTCACCAGCCTCATCGATAGGATTGCCTTTTCTGGCAAAGAAATCTTTGGTTAAAGCATCTAAAATATCTACGCAATACATCATGTCTCCTTTGCAAATGGGAATGTCCATTGATACAATTTTGTATTTGTTCGGTTTGTGGATTTGTAATGGTGGCTCTAAAACGTCTAAGAAATCTGATAGTTGATCGTATCGGATATATTGAGTTCCTTCGGGGTCGAAGTTCTGCCAGATTTCGTAATACATGTCGTAATCGTCGTCTGTAAGACCTTCTTGGACTTCTTCGGTTGCTTGAGAATAGTTTTCTAAGATAACGGCAATGTACATGTTGATGACAATAAGGAATGATATAACGAGATAACTGAGCAAGAACGCTATTCCAATGGTAGCACTGCCGCAGTTTCCTGGATCTCCTATTTCCGGGTTCGGTTGGTCACATTCTTCTTCGTTTATTATACCATCCAAAACACCATCCCATCCAGCGGATGTTGACATCTTCAAAAATGCACCATTTACAAAACATTTTTACAAGCACATCGTAACCGAATCATTCAAAAGCTAAATAATTATAGAGTCTCACCTGAAATAGTAGTATCATTGATTGTCCAAAAGTTTTGAAATTGTATACGTCATCAAGTCCGCTCTTGTCTTTGACGTGCATGAAGAATGACATTCCGAATATTGCAAAGATGAACATAACCAGGAAAAGTAATAAGCAAATGTTGAACAAAGCCGGCAGAGACATGGCCAAGGCAAACAAGAGTGTCCTTATGCCTTTGGCTCCCTTTACCAAACGTAAAACTCGACCTACTTTCGCAACACGTACCACTCTGAGCAGCGTCGGAGATACGAAATACTTAGCGATAATGTCGCTTAGCACCAAACCTAAAATAAAACTTGGTAAGAGTTTTCGTTTTAGTTTGATTTCGAATTATCCACCTAATATAGATAGTATGACAACCACCAAATCAAACAAATTCCAAGGTTCCGTAAAATAGTGATATCTCAATGCAAAAATCTTCATGAGGCACTCGGTGGTAAAAATAACAATAAATATCATGTTGAGGTAGTCTAAAATTTTCGTGAAGGTTTCCTTTTGTTGGTAATGGTCCATTGTCATCGTCAACATATTCAAACCAATAAACAACATGATAATCATGTCAAACTTCTTATTAGTCACTATTTCAAACACTATCGCTTGAGGTTTCCACTAAAACCAAAACAGAATAAATTCTCATCGATCTGACTAACGTCAAGATATCGTACCTGTGGTCGGGGTATAGCTTTCATTGGCTTTTTGGAACCCATTTTCTTCATGGCGTTGTAATACTTCTTTTGGTCTTCGGTCATGAACATTTCCAACGATCCACCTGCTTATAAGGGCAAATATTGTTAAATTTACAATCGAAACAACAGTGTATTTATACATATATTGAATCAACTTATGGATACTTATCTTTTTCTTTTGTTCGTTAAAATTGTCAATGATTACTCCTATAAATAGATTGAGGGTGAAGAATGATCCAAAAATGATAAAGAAAACAAAGTAAAGGTACATGTAGATATTTGTCTCTCTTATAGGTTGTTTATCGATTTGTTCTCTTGAATCAATAGCGTCGTTCATTATTGGAATCCATCCTTTGAATGTTGCTACTTGGAATAGACATAAATAAGCTTTGCCGACGTGGTCGAAATTCATGGGAGAATTTTCCCAAGTGTAATTTTCAGCTTGGCATGCGTTTTTATCGGGAATTATTTCGTAACTAACGTATGATTTGTTACCATCAATACACTAAAACAGTTACGATTAATGAAAAATAAAATGTTTGTTCATTTTTTGGCCCACCTTGAAGTATTTTCCGGCAAATAGTTGTACACCCATAATGGCGAAAATCAGCCAAAATATCAAACACACGAGGAGTACATTGAAAATGGATGGTATGGCTTGCACAAGTGCGTTTACAACAACCTGCAATATAACAAAGTTCCGTCAAATTATAAATTCCCTTTAGCTATTGATTTACCCTCATTCCCTGCATTCTTGACATAGCCCTTAGAGGTCTGAGAGCTCGAAGCGTTCTCATAGTTTTGAACGCTTGAATTCCACCTGCACCGCAGAGAGATGCTATGAAATTTATAAGTGATACCTAAAATTACAAGAACGTTCATAGTTAACATCCGAAAATCGATGGAATATTTTCAATTCCTTTTACCATGACTATGACGAAATCTAGCCAACACCACGCGTTTGTGAAGTAGACTTTGAACCCTAGGGCGAGCCATTTGATTAACATTTCAAATGCAAATATGACAGTGAATATTCTATCCATGTAGTACAAAATGTCTTGTAGAATATGCCTGTTTTGTAAGTGAACGTCTTCTAACGCTAGAGCTAAACTACTTAGTAGAATCATTGTAATGACTGCTGTTTCAAAGTATTTGTTCTCGATGAGTTCGAATGTTTTGAACCTTAGATTAGCCCAACCCTGCCAAAAGGGCGAATCGTCGTCTCCTGCTAAAAAAGGGAACTTTTTGTAACAGGATTCCGGGAAGCAATCTTCCGCGGACTCTGGAGGTCCTTCTTCCGCTTCTATTTCATGGACAAGGGCTCGTTTTAAATGACTCTCTTCCTGTTCACTTTCACTAGCTGCAATTACGAATAAATGAGAATAATAACAATCGTGTAGGGTAAATACGAACCATTGGCAGCCTCAAAGTCTTCTTTACTCGCGTCTTTCTTTTCTTCCTGGTCTTCTGGTTCTGTGACAGTGATACTTCCTTTATGACTTCCGTCTTTGAAACGGTTCTTATGACTACCATAAGATTTATTACTAATCAAATCGTCGTCGAAATAAGCATTGAAATCGCTATGTTCAAGAATAGAATTTCCTATAGTTTTACTTTTGTTTATATTATTTTTAACTTTCTTTAGATTTGCTTTGGAATCACCTGAAAATAACAGACCAAATATTCCATATAATTATACTAAACCCTCTAATTAGCGTTAGCTACCGTGAATCGTAAATTCCATGCCGTCGCCTATTGTCACCTCTAATTTATCTTTGGGACTCTTCTTGTGGGGAAAGATCATTCCATCAGCTAGTATTTCCTCTCCAGTTAGTTCCAAGCCCCCGTCTCTCGTATCTAAAAATCTCATTTTCATTGCCATTTCTTCTAAAACTAATCCTTGATCATCGAACAGTTGGAAAGAATTGTTACGATAAAATATTTTTTATGTTTTTTACGTAATCAATTCCAAAAATAAATAAACAAAAAGCTACAACTTTATTTTCTGCAGAAATTAGACATCAAAATATATTCGAAAATAAAAAGAAAATGAAAAAACTGTTAGATAACATATTTTTATTAATGTATACAAATATGATCTAATAAATAATTGTATGAGGAAAAGGGTCCAAAATTAGTTTGCTTATTACATTTTTGTACGGACGACTACATATTAAACAAAAAAAAAAAATAGTTGAATACAAACAAGTTAATTTGTTACTTTAACTGCCAACATAAACTAACGCAAATAATATTAAACGGTTAAGGAAGATCATGCCAACGGTAACACTACCTCAGAGCTAGGATTACATGTTATCCTCTGATGTCCTTGTTGTAATTTAAAAAAAAAGATATTACTTAGTGGTAAGAAGAATAGGAATTCTAGCTCTGAATGAAGCGTGAAATAAAACAATTAAGAAGCTTCACATTTTCTAAACCAAATAGCCATCAGTTTGGATAAAAACCTTGATTCCAACTGTTGGACGGTCCCTCACCTGGCGGCTGGTCAGAAATTTGATTGGTGAGTTTGAAGCGTATCTTTTTAGCAAAGTGCGTTACATTCAGTTTAATCCAATCGATAAAACGGCCAATACGATCGAATGCTTCTGCAATCTTGTTGGTGTCGTTATCAGCAGTACCTGCTGAAAGATTTGACGAACCAAAGTTGCTCAAGAGCAAGGCCAAGAAGAGATTAAGAACCTGTTTGGAAAAATAGGAATTTTAATAGAGGACCCAAGAGCCACCACGGAATGAAGACGTACCACAAGATTTCCTATGACTACCGTTGCTAAGAAAAATGGAATACATGATACGTCTCCTACTAACATACAATCCCACATCGATTCGATCCATTCTCCACACAACACTCTAAATACTATCATAAAAGAATGCATAAAATCTGTAAAGTTCCATCGTGGTAAGGTGTGATCACGAAATCTGTCCACATTATCTGTAAAAAACCAAACGAGAGAAAACGTTGTTTTTCTTTTAGTGAAAATTTTCTGACGAACCGGTGTAGTTCTTGCCGAAAAGTTGCATGCCCATTACTGCAAATATGAATATGATAATACATAGGACAAACGTCAGGTTGCCCAAAGCTCCCATCGTTCGTCCCATAATCGAAATCAGAAGATTCAGCGTTGGCCAGGATTTAGCCAGTTTGAACACTCTTAGCTGAAATGAAATAGTGACTCAATTTCCAAATCGCCAATCAGGTCGATCAGAATGCTAGTACCAGTCTGAAAGATCGCAACACTGACAATCCCTGGACGCCTTCCAATCCCAGCTCCAAAAGGGATAAAACAACAATGATGAAGTCGAAAATATTCCAACCCTCTTGGAAGTAATATTTCGGACTCATCGCAATCAACTTCAATGTTGCTTCAATGCCGAACGTTGCCGTGAAGAACTAATCAAAAAAATCCGGTCATGTTTTCATAAAAATTCGTACAATGGAAGACTTTATTTTACACTTTGGATAGGTAATAGTTTGACAATTGTTTAGCAGGTACATACGTAATTTCCACTTTTTAATGCCTTCTCCATGTCCTTGTTCATGTCGTGGTGATCGAGTGCCATAAATAGGGTATTAACGACGATGCAAAGTGTGATGAATAGTTCGACGAACGGATCAAAAACTATCAGCGCTACATACTTTTGCAATTGAACCCACAGCCAACAGCAATCCCAGACACACAGTGTGTCTATAATTTTCATAGTGCTTTCTAATAAACGTTCTTTTAATGTTGGCTCATCTTCATCATCATCATTGGCTGAGAAATAATAAACAGAAACTGTACGAAGTATTAGTAAAGGTGAAGTTGACACACTCTTTTAGGAAAAAGAGGTTTTGTGCAAATGGCAGCGGTGCATACCTGTTCTTAACCGTTATTAGTTTATCAAAATATTCTACGTAGTAAAATTAAAAAACAATAGACAAAACGAAACAAAGTAAACGATATCTGCTTTGTAATTAATTACACACCATCGTAATTGCTTTAAATTTTGCCGGTTAAGAACAATAACATCTTCAACTACTCAAAGGTTTTCACTATTTCCTTCATGGTGCGTGTTAAGAAATCTACAAATGACACGAAGCACAGTATATGGTATATATTTGCTTCAAATGTATTAATTAAATAGTCAAAAATGCTACACCTTTAAAATAGTGTAAACCTCAGTTTTTCAACATGCTCCTTATGGATGACATGTATTTTAACTGTACACAAGTCATTGATTGCATTCAAAAGGTTTCTGCCATATAACGTACATAGGAACACGTACAATAAATATGGTGAATGACACATGTAGTAGGATTACTTTTTTCCACTAAATTTGAGTGTTGAACAGAAGGTTTCACATTTAAATGGACGTATGAAATTTTTGTATCTAAATTCTATGTCACTGGAAGTATACGTCTAGTTAAAGCATATTGCGATGGTAGTTGTGTTAAAATCTACTACAGGGGGAGTAACGGACTTGAGTGAAAGAGAGTAATAAGATGATGCTTACCTCCGTTTTCACTAGCTCGACTTTGTCTTCCTGCTGCTTGTTCAATGATGTCATTCAAAACCATTACGTCTACAAATGGAAATTTCAATTAAAAATGATTTATCTACAAATCCACCGGTATCTATGCATATCTGTTGGTCAACATACCCATCATGTCGACGATAGGTTGCTTTTGGTTACCGTCCACGAATGGGTTATCAAGATTCTTAATTTTACCTTCAATCACTGTACCTGTTGGTCCATTCTGTAATGATAATATATAATCTCCAGCGATTATTTCTTCCCGATGCCACGCTATCACTTACGTAGTTTCCGCAGTGCGGTTTGTGATTGAATTCCTCATAGTTAGGAGCCATTGTCTGTTTCTTCAGGCGCCCCTTCAACTGTTCCTCCTTGGTTATGATTCGGCCATTTCCACCAAGACCTCCTAGGAGATCGTTGTGTGAAGTATAGGACATTCGAGAAGCATGGGAAGTATAAGAAGAATGTCTTGACCCTATCGAAGATTGTGTTTTTGTAGGGATGCATGAATCTTCCGATTCATTAATTCGTGTCAAAAGGCCTAATATCTTACGAAATCGCTACGCAACATAGTCCAAAAAGCCGTTATCCATGTTGCACGAATAATAATTCTAAGTTATTTTTTTTTTGTAGGGTAAGTGGTGGGTTTTAAAGCTATTTTATCTAATATCTGCTTACCTAAACTAGCATAATACATTGGAACGACCATTGCTCCATTTTCTTCGCTCATTGGAGTAACGGCGTTAGAATCGTCGGCATACGGGAGGTGTTCTTGAGCATCCAGATATGTCGATAACACCAGCGGTTTACGATCACCCGGTGGCATAATTCGTCTATTATTGCGAGCTGTAAATTGATGGCTACCCCTTGAACCTCTTCGAAAATTAAAAGGCGATCCCGGGAGGCTTAAACTAGTCTAAATACGAATTGTAATGAAATACATTTGCCATATTAAATTATAGGATGATGTGCTGTCACATGCTTACAAAGAACATGCACAGAAGCCTTAATTAACCGATGTTCATTTGATAATCTCGTTCTTTTCATGTCGTACAAACAAACGGCTTGAAGCCCATCACATTATCTTGTGGGCGTACATTAAATTTTTATGACTTTGCAAAAAGAAAATTTATCTGTTTGTAGAGTAAAATTAATTAGATGCATGCATTTGGGTCGTATGCAGGGTTGGGCAACCAAAAGTAAATTTACTATTTATGTCGATTTAATTGCTTGTCTACTACCGTGTTCTGCTTGTATGGCTATTTTCCTTTTATTCACTGCATCTAAACACTTATGGAGATTCTAATTGTTCCTCAGCGGAACTGGTTGCAGGAACTAAGTAAGTTGCTAAATGTATGGATTCATGTTTCATGCTAAAGGAAGGGCTAAGTTAATGTGAAGCACGTAATAGTAGGCAGTCAAATAAAGAATGAACAGAGGTGTAAGTGTATCTAACTAATCCCTCCCCTAAATTAAATAATAGTCATGCAGTAAAAGTGCAACACAGAGTAGGTCTTATACAGATTTTGTCACAGCAAAACCACTATAAGACGGATAAAGTCTGAACACCATAACTGTCATGATCTTTATTTACATATTGAAAGAGTATGTTTGTATTTTCTTTTGTAAACTGAGAAGGAAAGATCGTATTTTTTTTTCCGAGATTAAGATTTCCCGAACGATAAATATCAAGACACTTACAGCGCTGACTTTCCGCATCTTGGTGGGATTAGTACGAATCCGTCTCTGCTCACTCACGGAATCAAGTCCTTCAGAATGAATGCTCATCTTTTCTTTGTTGTTATCTTCCTGTATCTTCTCTTGTTCGACGAAGAGCTCGTAACTTTGGCAGGACGAGGCTGAAGGGGAATGTCGGGGCGGTAATTCTTCGTGAATGTTCCCTTCGTTACCTCCACCTGGATCTGGACGCCTTTTGTTTTGATGAGGGTTTTCAAGTTGCTTTAATCTCGATTGCTCTTCAGCCGTCTTAAAATTTATTCAATTTCACAGGTATCCTTTCGGCATCATTCCGATGCAGTTGCAGTCGACATGGAAATAATGAAATTAGTCATTCCAGTAGTGACGGCTCGTGGCAGAGGGCATAACTGTAGAATTTTAGTCAACAAACGAAGTAGAGGAAACCGGATTTAAACTGATCGAATGAAATGCTATTTTCTTATTTCGAAACACTGAGGCAAATGAAATTACGAAACGACTAATTATTATCTAAAAAATGCCTTATCAGTGTTTTAGAAAATCAAATTATTATCTCATGAGATTGCTGCAGGTAACCATTGAATCGTTTCTGTGGAAAATTTGAGGCATGCCTAACTTAAGTCTAAAGTCCGCCATGTTAATTAAGCCACGCCTCCTTGCCAGTTCCCAATACCTTCTTATAACAAAGTCATAATTGCCTTTTTTTGATTTGAAGAACGAAAATCGCCAAACGCCCCTCTGCCCTTTGTTATTAGCTGCCACTACATAACGACTTATTCCATTATCAATTAGTCGACTTCGTGTGACTCAAATAGAAAAGTTTGTAGTTCTGAATGGGTAATTACCCTAATAGCTTCCTCTGCTGCTTCCTCTTCTTCCGCTTTCTTCTGGAGTTCGTCGTATGACATCGCAACGATAGCCAAGATCAAGTTCACTAGATAGAAAGAACCCAGGAAAATAATCACTATAAAAAATAACATATGCCACGGTCCCGCCGATCTCAAAACCTGAAATGAAGATAATTGAAGGAAACGTAAAGCAACATTCAACTACGTTTTGCCAATTTACTTGCTGATACAAATTTTCCCAATAATCTTGCGTCATGAGACGAAATGCAGATAAAAAGGCCCAACCGAATGTGTCGAAACTCGTGTATCCGTAATCAGGATTACCGCCGAATCCTTGCAGGCAAACGTAACCTTCCTGACATTGTCTGAGGATAATGTTATTTAGCAAAATATTGTGACAGTATTTTTAAGGATTAAATTACCCTGCTCCTGATGAGTTTCCGCACAGTGGATAGTCATCGTCCTTTTTGAACCAGTTTGCTACGGTTGAATGAAACATATAGAATATTTGAATAAAATTTATCGCAGTCTTACTTTCGTTACTGACGAATCTCTTCCAATTCTCGTCGGTTAGGTTACCCCACGAGCCGTCTCTCGGAAATCTTTTAATACATTTTTGCGTTAAAACGCCCATGTAAATTTGTAAACCCATAAGAGCGAACACAGATAAAGAAAACATTGTTAATATTATCACATCTCGCAGATTTTTTACTGATTCTATTACAGCTCCTACGATAGTCTTCAAACCTGAAATATATTTCATCGTTATCAAACTTAAATGTTTTCTATGCGTAACGAAATTTGTTGATTGATTTGACGTTTGAATATCTTATCCTATTAGATCTATTCCTATGGGTAAAGTTTCGAGTATAATATGATGTGATGGGGGTGTAGTATAAGGAATATTAGTACCTGGCACAATGGCAACGGTTTTCAGAGCTCGAAGTACTCTGAATGTTCTCAAGGCAGCAAGGTTTCCCAGGTCTATTCCCATAGTAACATAGCTGAAATTTTAAGCAGTTAAAAATAAGATATCACGCAATCTGGCTTTCTGATAGAGCTGCTACTAATCTGATCTAAAGAAGCAAAACCTTCTCTAAAATGTTGAAAACATGATGCTTCACAATCCTACTTAAATGTATTATATCTCATGTACAGCATGTACCACAAAAGGATGCTAGTTATTTAGTAGGTAGTAAAAAAAAATACTTAACAATTAATTTTTCTTTTTCCAATCGGCTTACAACAAATTTTATTACGAATATAAATACTTTAATTAACTTTCTTTTGTTATAGATGACCTTTTCTACTACATGCGGGATCTAGGGTAAGCTGCTTACTAAATTTGTAAGATTGTATAATTTTATTTTATTAGTAAATATTACAAAAATAGTAAGCTCGACGTAGTACCCTGTACATGACGCCTAAATCTACCAGGAATATTGCTGTTCAACAGAAATTCTATTATTTCTAATTCTATATAAGACCATATAAAAATTATATCTAACATAGGAAAACACTCCTGTCTAAAATATAAGAGGATGGTACAATATTAAATTCAATTACTATGGAATTATTTCTACAGTTGCACAACAGTAATAAAATGACATAAAAACTCACATATTATTTTAGTTAATAATCAAAAAGTAGTATACGAAAACATACGAATGATTTTGCATATCTGCGAAGTAAAACATTTTTCCTAATAAACGTTCCATCGAAGAAGATGATCCAACAGTCTTAATACTTATTACATTAAAGGTAGCTTACTTATAAAGGCATTAAATACAACAAAAAAAAGATTATTTGCTGATTGTTCAAGGTAGGGTTCGTTTTTGTGTTCATTTGTAAAAAAAAAAATGTCTCCAGGTGTTGTCCATTATAAGGCTTTTTATTTTTTATGTCATTTATAAAATTCTAATTAAATTGTTTACTTTTCGTAAAAGAAAAGTTGGGCATACGCATAATGAAGTAATATAATCTTTGACTACGTGTTAAATGTTTCAAAGTGTGCTTAAATAAGTACGATACTACTTAATTTTATCGTTAAATTAATTAATATTTACTGACGAGAACCCTTTTGGCAGTGGATATTAATTAAACTTTTCGATGCATTTTCTTGTTGTTTTTAATGCATCGACGGGTTGGGAAACGGTCAGAGAGCATAAAAATTTTCAAAATAGATAGGAAAATTTGACGCTCTCTCCACTTTGGTATATACGGGGTACCTAGTATCTAAAAGTTTCTAGTCTATTGCTTCTAAGCTACTCACGCTAAAGCTATCACTACGAAGTCGAGCCAGTTCCATGCATCTCTAAGGTAGGTAAACGGTTGAAGTATAAAACCTCTTGCCATCACTTTCACAGCTGACTCGAATGTGTAGATGCCAGTGAAAATTACTCTAAAAATAATATCCAATGAAAAACAAATACCAGCAACTCTTTTTAAATATACAATTTTTTATAATTGGCAGTCAGTTCCGCGCCTCAAAAGGAAAGCGGAACCTTTTAAACTGTGGACATAGGAATTATATAGCGATGGAGCATCATAAATTGATAGAGTCGATGCTGTCAAGGGAAAACAGTACAATGGGGTAACATGTGCCTAGATACTATTGGCTGCCCATACTGTGCACACGTAGTAGGTATCTACGAACGTCATTACATGTATGGCAGCCATGACAATATCCAGGAGTCAGTATGGCCTAGCTATGTTTTTCCATATCTCGGAAAACATAGTTATTTTGTCAGGTGTATGTACGTCGATGGATAGAAGTAGGAGATACAATCTCATAAGGCCCTCAGCAACCCTATACTCTAGAATTAATTGGGTTGTTCAGGAGTTAGACGTTAGTTCGTCAACGTAGGGTAGATGTTCCTTTCCCTTTCTGATACAATTTTAACAGGGCTTGGAAAATGACGCCCGTGGTAGTGTATCAATTAGTTACGGTAAAAGATGACAATGTTTTGTTTGGAGTGTTACCAAATTGTATATTCGAAATTTAAAATTCAAAATTAATAGTACAGAAGAAATAAAAGATTTAAAAAAAATGAGAAAATTTGCCATGACATGTTTTTTTTTGTTTCAATCAATTGATAAACTAGTTTTGATAAAAGACTTTTGGGTATAGCTATCAAGAGCATCAATAAGATTTAGGCACAACTGTATAGGTGCCGCCCATCCCCTGTCTATAATGATACTTTGTTTTCCGCCCCTATATTATTCCTATATCCAAGTTTTAAACACATTACAACCAATTGGCGTTGTCAGTTGTACAATTAGCATTCGCAATTTCTTTACAAAAATATTAGAAAGAGCCTTTAGTACCCGATTGTTTGTATTTATTGCTTTTGTGGCATTCTGTTAAAAGAAGTTCGCGAAAAACAAATTCAGAAACTAAATTTTTGAATTTTTTATGTAGGATATTTTCAAAAATATTGTTGCAAATTATGAAAACAACACAAGAACATGAAGTTTAGAAGAAAATTATAGCAAATTTTCCAGGTTTTCTAGTTTACCAAAAGCGAATGTAAACATCTATAAGCAGTTCAAAAAGGAGAACGAAACAAGAGTATAATTATTATTACTGAGAATCTTCCATTCTGAAATGAACATTCATAATTCGTTCTACAAGTGGCAGAATATGCTTTGAGATGTCAGTCATGGAACTGAGAAATCGTTATTTACCACGAAGCCCTAAAGGGAACGCTTGTCTGCCATTACCGCCAAAATTACCCAAATGCCTGCGCCTTTGTTATCAAAGAAAAGTTACTTGTGTTTAAACAGTGCTCGATAGGTACGTTCAAAAGCCCGTCTTAATTTTCTTCGGCGTCTAATGAAAAATAAGAATTAAAATATTTAAAGTAGTCCGGCCGAATTTTTATTTACGTTGATATGTCAATAAAATTTATACTAATCAATACTTGAAACCTATTTATTGAGAATCATGAAGGAAAGGCGTCTAACGGAGTTAAAATTTATATAATCTTCATTATTTCACCGCTTTTAGTAAGAAAACTTTTGGGGTAATTTTAAGGGTATTTTTCGATAATTGGAAAACTTTAACTTTATTTTTTTTTGTTGCGGTAAAAGTATATATAAATTAAACACAAATGATTGAAACTAAACTAAGACAATAAATATACACAAACATACATGACATCAAGAAAAGGATTCAAGAATACGAATATATATGATTTTACTACTCAATCTTAGTCTCGGACTGGGTAAAATTCTCTTCGGATTTTAGGCAGTCCGGTACCATTTAATCTACAATTTAACTATAACAGAAAACCATCAGGTAGACGATACAAACCTTTAGGATCGGTGAATAATTTTCAACGCAAGAAACACCAGCACCTTATAATTTATTTTTTGATAGAGTAAATAATTTACAAGAAACTTACTCTGTTGACTCTACGGTGGGTGTGGTTGGCATAATCATGAGGATGCAATTGACGAGAATTGTAGTAATAATGAAGAGGGAAAACAGAGGATGTACGAGAATGTAAATTGCCACTCGACGGATTGGATTAAACGGGTCAAGTATCCACATAGCATTTGTAGCACTAAATCGGAAAATATCTTTGCCTTTACTGACTACTATAAACGTCTGAAAAAAAAAAGATAATAACACCATAGTAACTGTATCTGCGAACCTTATAGCTGTGTAATAGAGGCAGCTACCAGTAAATATTGTTGCAGGTACAGCGCTTCGAATTGTATTCGAATTACTTGAATATCCACAAATAAATCAAATACTTTGAAATTTAAATATTCAAATATTTAAATATTCAAAATTTAAAATATCGAAATGCTTGATTGTTTAAATTCCATTGTTATTGGGTATCTGATTCAAATTATTATCATACTTTCATCTCAACGTCATAGTGTACTGAGGGGTATACTACAATTTTACGAAATGCATTACCATCTCATATTCATTGAATATAGAAGTCCTTACGGAAAAATGTAACTTTAAGGGACCACATCTTAAAAATATGAGTTGTTACGACTTAGCGCCAATTGAGACTTTTGATTTACACGTCGAGAACTACCAGAATCCAAAATATTGAAGGGTTTGACAGAGCGTCATTTTTTGAAAGAATTTAGCGGGGTCATTTGTTCACAAAACCATTAAGGAACGATTTACCAATTACTTCACGCAATTTCTGTGTTTCCTAGCTCATTTTTCTCTTTGTGTCATATTGTCACTCTTCTAGTGCAATATCAAAACTTTTGGAAAACTAGTTTTTCAGGTACAAAATTTATTAGATTTTTGAATTTCAGGTTTTGAAAACAAGATTTTGTTTAACTTTTCATTTTTAATGTCTAAAAAGGGTAGGCTAAAATGACAAAAAAATATGTAGGTATTTTTAAATGAATGTGAACAAGATAATGCAAGAAAAAATATCAGTTGTGATTTTTGCTTGCTTTTACATCAAGTTGTTAATCTCTTTGAAAAAAGGAAATAGAAATAAATAAAAGAAAATTGACAACAAATTGTCTCCCTGTCACACGTTTACAGTACAGTGACCCAACTATTAAATTTGTCCTATTTTTAGAATTTATTGGATGTGAACCCTTGGTTTGTCGGAGATGCCTTATTGATGCTGAATTTGTACTGCAGCCAAAAAATAAAAATTTTCGCAGTTTTTGGAACGAATTTTAATATTCGATTTAAGCGCCAGCCTAAGGTTGACCTATATGTGTAAAATATGGGCCAATAGCTGTATAATCGTTAAATGATTTTCCTTTAATAGATGCGCATTTTCAATCTTCAACGTTCTTTCAGTTTAGTGACCCAATTCTTTTTTGTTAACATTTTTTTATGACCTTGTTTCGATAACAATCGCATATAATGACAACAACGATCAAGTTGAATTTAACATCCCCTCGCTTCTGAAATTTATCACTTCAGTTACTATTTAAGAAATTAACTTGACCTAATTAATTATAATTTCAATATTTTCATTGTACCTAAGTGGTCATCTTTGGGTCAACAGCAGAAACAATGTTGTCAAGGTATTTATGTAGTGGAGGATGGGGTGAGAGAAGCCACTTAACAAAAAATTATAATAAAGTTCTTATTTTTGTAGGGAAGAAGTCATTAATATTGTTTTTGTTATAAAATAAAATAGATAACTCTCATTAAGTCATTACCCTGACACATCGGATAATAAGGATCATTATTTACTTGAGATATTGATCCTTTCTTTCTGGGAAAATTTTAAATCCAAATGGAAATAATACGTTAATAATAATCCGTTTGCTAATTAAGAGCGCGTAATAAGTATAAAAATGACATACTAGCTCCCATTATCCTACTTTTCCCTAATAAACATGTTTGACTAGGAGTCTACCAATTGCACTACTTCTACTAAGGAAGAAAGGTTTTAAGAAGTAGATTTTATTTAATTTTACGTACTCTCTGATTGCTATAGTATGGATCGATGTCCTCAAGTGGAGTACTTGCCAGTTCCGGAGGAAAACTGCTCTGTAACCGTACTGGTATGGGAACTCCCTGCTCGAGGGTAGGATCAGGTTGGGGGCCTTCATCTTCGTCCTCGTCCTCATACCGAATCTGCGCATACATTAATCATATATCCCATACCTACACGTTAATTTTTGTAAAAAATTGTAGTTTTTGTGTTGCACTATGTACATTTGGATCGATCTTTTTCTTCTTCTTTAAATTATTATTATGTGTTTGGCATTTTCTTTTGTGGAACAGTCAATTTCTATAAGTCGATTATAGAAATTGAGATTATAATACGTGAAACGGTTATTTTCGTTTTGTTTTCGCCACTATTTGGATAAAATTTTCTTCGAACTACTGTTCTCATTAGCCACAATCAACCTAGTGGTCAATCAGAAATAATAACAGACACTAAAAAATATTACACATGCATTTTCAATGCATAACAAAATTCGAATCAAACAATTAGCAAGTTGCCAAAACAGGAGTTTTCAATTGTAAAATGGTGTAAGATTTTAAAGCCTTATCATTAATGTGAATTACGTAAAATAGTCTATTAACTCCAAAAACTTGTAAACTATTGATTAAATGCAAACAGCACAATTGCTAAAATGGGAATGTTGCCCCAAAACGTTTACCATTAAACAAAAAAATAAAATAAAAGTGAATTGTTTGTTGTTTTAACAATAACTGGTGCAACAATTTCTTTTAATAATTATTAGTGTTATATTCACAAGAAAAGTGTAATATAGTTAAGTTTTGTTCTGATAATTATTTTAAAAAAAAATAATTGTAAATGTAATAAATTGTAGGGTTTCAATATATTTTGTATTATAGAATAATATATCAACACAATAACAGGTTGGAAAATTGATAGAGCTAATAACAGATATTTTTTTAAATTACTAAACTGTCATCTAGTATTTACTCTTATTAAAAGGGTAAATATAGCATACTCATATATAGTTGATTTTATCGGCATTTATGCGACGTACAATTAAAACAAAAGTTGAAAAAGAAAGACAAAAGCTCAATTGGCTTTTGTTCTCGTTTGGAGGCTATTCAGGGCGGAATTATCCTAACCGGTGAACAGTTCGGTGTTACCGAAACATACGACGCATTGCAGTTGCACTAGAGCTTTTTGTTCTCTAACGTCCTATATTGTTTTCTTTTTCACAGTGAAAAGTTTCATCGTGTTAAAGAAAATAAATTATTTGTGTAATGCTACTTTAAAGAACTCTTATTATCTAGGGCATTTTAAGTAGTGCCTAACAGCAGAGCCTAATAAGGTTTACTTTTTTAGCTTAAAAGCAACAGATACCTACGTTGTGCCGGTGTAAATCAATAATATGCCGAAAATGTAGGTCAAGCTAGAAAAGACTTGAAAAACGGAAACGTATGAGAAAGACCATATCAAAGAAGATCATAAAAATATATTCAACACTCCGACCAGTACCATCATAAGTCATAAAAGTGTCAAATACTTTATAGCGTATTTTTATAACGCACTTTTGAAATAAAATTTACGTTGACTATGCCACAAAATAATCATTATGTTACTACCGGTATTAAAATCTGATTAATATTTACACATTATTTATTATTAGTAAAAATACGGAAAAATAAATTTTCTTGATTGCGCTGAGCACTTATTATGTTTCATAATATACATTACATCCATTAGGTTGGATTAATGAACCTTTCAACATATACACTAGCCGGGGATATCAAATACCAGTAAATATAGAGGGCTTATCATATTTTACCCTCGACACTAATATATTTCCGATAACATTCGTTATTATTGAAAAATGCAGGAAAACTTTTCATCTTGAGGAACTTGAACGTAATCTCGTGTACCAACTAAACAATTTCGTGTGTGAGGTGTTTTTAAAGTTAGTTGAGGTACTAACGAACAGAGTATCAAAAGCAAGCGGAATTTCATGCATGAGTACTTCTCGTCGAATAAATTAACTTTGTTTGATGTAAGTATATATATGTATACATGTGTGCGGACATTCCCTGCTAAATTGCACTTCTGGTAATTTTTGGGTGTTGGAGTTTTGAAACGTGTAAAGTTTTAGACCTTATTATAAGATACCAATTTTTTATAAACTTAGCCTTTTTTTTATATTTAATATCTGTAAATTCATGTGTTGATATTGTTCACATTGTTAGATGTGGACGAATCATACAGAACAGTTAAAGTATTACTACCAAAGTATCATTTAATAAGCAGAAGTTATCTAATTTAATTAAAAATGCTTAACAAGCAACTTGTAAACTTGTTTAAAAAAAACTTGTTAAAAAAAACTTGTTTAACAGGAAACTTGTTCAACAAGAAACTTGTTTAACAAGCAAGTTGTAAAGTTGCTTAACAAGGAAATTAACTAACTAACATGCTAAAGAATGCTTGAAAAGGAAGCTACTGACTTGCTTTACAAGTAGGTGATATAGTTGCAAACTTGTTTAAAAAAACATCTTGTGAATTTGTTTACAAACAACTTGTAAAGTTACTTAACAAGCAAGTTAACTAAGTTGCTTAACAAGTAAGTTGTAGAAATGCAAACTTGTTTAACAAGCATATTATTAAGTTACTTTCATACATGTTATACACCTGTTTAACAAGCAAGGTGTAAATTTTATTTTACAAGCAAATTGTAAACTTGTTTAATAAGTAAGTTATTAAAACTAACTTTACTAACTTGCTCAACAAGCAGGTTAGTAACGTGTGTTACAAGCAAGTTAATTATCTTGAAAAGGGGGTTTTAAGTGGAGCAGAAGGCTGGGGGTGCAGGGGGCAAGAAATAGAATATTAAAAAAGTTAAGCAAGTTATTAACATATTAAAATATTATTCTGAACCAACATTGTAGTAATCAAGATGAGTTTCTTTTTGGTTCTACTTATTTGACAGTTTTCAAGACCAGTTAGATGATGGATAAATTCAATCTTCATGGAATGTTAAAAATTTAATAATTTACTCACGGAACTACTAGTTCTAAAAGGGTCCAAAACGAAAAAACTGATTTTTTCAAGAAGTTACAGAAATGTGCATGAAATAATGCCAAAGTTTTAAAAAATTGATATCTTGTTGGCGGTTTAAAATTAAGTAGGTTTCTTATTAAATTGCACACTAAAGTTATGGTCAATGGGTAATATAAACAATAAAAAATTTCAGAAAAATCTAAAGTTAGAAAATGTACAATTTGACCTGAAATATTCCGTACGTGTAATTTACACTGTATACTGTACAGGATATTTTTTTATCGGTGTGAAAGTGTTAATGTATGTGTATGTTGACTATCTACCCATTCTATGGCAATCATAACTAAAAGCTCTGTGGCAGCTAATAAATTCTGAGATGTGCTTAACGACTAGAAAATGTTGAATTAATTAAAATGCACTGAATCTTCCGCATTAAAAATCAATTTCCAGGTTGATTATTCCAAGCTTCTTTTTTAAGCCTTAATAAAAGATGTTCAGTCAGGGAGTAATTAAAATAATGTTCGGTGTACTGGGGGTTTATAAAATTTTTATTAGGCTTTCATCCTTATGCACATCTCGCTGTCAAGTAAATCATTTTAATGTAAATATTGTAAATTCTATCGTCTAGCATATATTATTGCTACATTGGCTGTTTTATCCTAAAGGGGTCTTTATTTGTGAGTATTTAAGTTTGTGACGTATTTGTTTTTAAGCCTTGTCGGTTGATATTTGCCATATGTATTTTGAAACAGCCAATGCAGTTTTTGAATTGTTTCTAGGAAGCTTTTTTTATTTATTCTGGCATAGGAAATGCTTCGGACGATTTGGCTGGTATTTTTGTATTTTAGGAGTGCTAAGTAGTATTAGTAATGAATTGTATCGTATTTAGTGTTTAATGTTAAGTACTCTATTTTATGTCATAGAAATCGTCAGAAGCATGTTCTAAAACATTTGCAAAAAGCGGGTGGCTTTTCTTATTAGAAAATCTTACTTCTTTTTTCTTTTTCCTTCGTCCAAAACCGGTCTGTAATAAAGTTGAAATTTTAACATTGAAAAGCACAACAATGCATCTACTCTACTAAAAACATCATTCTAAAACCAGTTTTCATCTCTTAATCTCCAGAATAGACCAAATTACTTTTTATTGAAATAATGGGGTCAGTTATTGAGATATCTGTCTCTATACATTACCAAGATTATTGCAAAACTCAATACCTTTGTATAAAAATGCGGAAAACGATTTTAATCAAAGCCAGAGTCGTATTTTCGAAATGAAAAGTTAATTTACTTTCTCGGTAAGTATTACCTATGGATATACGAAAGCATCGCAAAATTCCCTAGTGAATAAAAACACGCAAACAAGATAAGATGAAATATTTGCCATAAGAAAAAATAAAAATAAAATATTCTGCCTGAAACTGTATTTTTAAAACACATATTTCACATTACCCGTAATTATGTGAAGAAAAACAGAGAAGGACTTCAAATAAATACAATTCTTCTAAAATATTTTGAAAAATTCGCTTTTGCAAATCGTCTTTTTTAAAACATTTTAATTAACTCATTTATTAAACAGTAACATTTTGTTTAATTGATGCCTGTTCCCCATGCTAAGCGACAATTTACGGGAACATAAAATGTCAAGTTTGCTTCAAATACTTCCATGAACTTGTTTAAAAATAAACTCAATTGCTTCAGACATTTTTATAAATCGATAGGGCACCGTGTTTGCCTGTAACGCTCACACCGTCATTATTTTACTTCAGTCGTCGCAAAACCCAAGGAAATGATGTATGGAATTTCTGTAGTGATAAATGCATGTCTGCTAGAGATATTATGATAAATTCTTGATATGGAAGAGAACGAGAAAGATGTTAAAATGTAAATACAATAATTTCAAAGAAATTTTTTAATGTATGTAAATGTACCTATAACACTGCAATTGTTTCGCCTTACAATGGCTTCTTCAGATTGAAGAATTCTGAATATTAATTTACAAAATTTACAAAACATTGCTGAAATACTAGCGGAGCGTAGTAGAGTAACTGTTAAGAAGCAGGAGATGACTACTGTATGTAGTTAAAATTAAATATAAAGGTGAAAATTTAACAACGAAGACTTATTTGTTTGAATTTGATAATTAATTGAAGTATTTAATTTGTTTTATATCTTCATGTCCATAATTTCTGTTAAACTTAAGTTTTTGTAATATTATGACGATTTTCCTTGGTTGATGTTTAAAACTTATTGCAATCGCCACAAATTAAGTATTTTGCTTAACAGCCAAAACCAAAACCGCTAGTTATTCCAACACCCTCCACCTCAAATAAAGATTTGAATAAAACTACGTTATTTATTAGACCTAAGACCTCTTTTAACGGCAATGTAAATTTAAATTACCTACATCGTTTTGAAATCAATAATCATGATGTTAATTCTAATTAATAGCGTAATTAACAAAGTGAATTTTTGACATTGGAAACAGAATTTGTATCACAAATAATTAACATCTGAATTCAGGTCTAGTTTTCACATAATATGAATTCGAAAAAATTAGTTCCAAATTGTATCCACGACGACCTGAATCAGGTCAGCATCAGTTCACCAACTGGCCGGAAAAGTCTCTACCAATTTGTCGGCACAGTTAAGTTTCAGATTTCAAAATATATTTTTGATGGACCAGAAAACAATTTTTTCAACTTTCGTAACTTCCAAAACATTTTTTGCATAATTAATTGAGCTCTAACAAATTACCAAGTTTCATTCTAATCGAAAAAGGCCTTTCGTCTAAGAACAAGTATTCTTCAACCTGAAGAAGTCAGCTTACGACGTAATAATTATCGTGTTACACATTAAAAAAATGTTTGAAACTGTTGTGTTTCTGGTACTAATATAATTTTTCAACAAGTTCGTACTGTCGACAACCATTAATTTTTTGAAAACGTTATGATATTATGGGTCGTGTACTTCAAGTATAACTGAAACTTCGACGAACTTAAGCTTACAACCCTTAATGAGTAACCAAAATAAACGAATGTCCAATGTAAGACAAACTGAAAGGATTTCAATGAAATTGGTAGATACACTAAAGCCGGAGAAGCTGAAAGCGTCGATTGATGGACAGCCTAAGCTTGTTAATAAACGACTTTCTTTTCTAGTAAAAACGAACGTGAAAACTCGCTGTTAGTACTAGATGAGTCAGTGGTGACATTGATTTACTAAACTAGCATCATTTTCTAAGAAATAATCTAGTGACATTTCTGGTGGAGGCGCCGGACAGTTATGAGTACTAAAAAAAGTGAATTTGTACAAAGTACTCTAAGACATATATATGTAGGTAGGTAGGTAGGTACCACAACATCAAATTTATTTGATCCTGATAATCTTCAAATGAGAAATGGATGTACAAGTCTAGTTTTCAAGCTAAAAATTATGTTGTGACTAAACGTCCGCCAGCGGAATTATCTTCTATAAAAAAACTCCACGGTGGACTTAGTGCTACTATGGTTGAAAATCCGCAGATATTTTGATTGAATTTTTCAATTTCGCAGTGTGAGCCAGGAACGATACGGTAACAAAAATAAAGGACAACAATAACTTAATTCGTGCTCTAAATTGTGAGGGCCTTGCGCCCTACTTTCTGGCGTAGTCCGGAGAGACTGCCCCCAATATTAGTAGCTCCAAAAAAATTTTAAAATTTACTAAACATTTAAAATAATGGCGGATTTTCAACGAAATGACTAAGTCTGCCGGCTGGCCTTTTTTTATAACAGGAAATTCTGCATTTCCTAAAATTATATTTAAAAAATACGTATTTAAGTACCAAAAATACTGAATTTCGATATTCATTTTTTTTGGTACCTACTTGTTTTTTTTAACGATGTATTGGTGGTGTTTGATGAGTGAAGTTTTAAGTGTGACGAAATGTACGAGTTTGAACTGGCACGAGCAAAGCACACATGGAGGAAAATCTATTATTTAGATCTTACCTCTCCTTCAGCTCTTTTCTTTTCGAGCTCTTTCTGCTTTGCATGTTCTTCAGCGATACGGGTTTCGATAGCAGCCAACGATTCACGTGTGAATGGACGGAATAGGCAGCGTTCCTCTTCGGACAATGCGTCAGAGGCTTCGGACATGTCTCGTCACACTTAGGCCCCCTCGATACCCTAAAAATTAAATTTTCAATACCTAGTAGCTTTTTTGTCAAAAATTGCGTGGCCAGTTTCTCATTGGAAATATAGAAGATACCTATTTAATAAATTTTAACAGTTTTTGGCCCATGAATCCATCACGTCAATATGGGATTGTGGTAGAAACGTAGATATTTCTTACCATAGTTACTATTAATGTTTGTACAAATGCAATCCTCTGCTAATAATTGGACATAATTTTATTAAAATTACTAAATATTTGGATTGCATAAAAGAATTTCTGAAAACGCGGTGAAAAGATAATTGCGACTAGTTTCTTTTTCATTCTCTGTTTTATATAAATTGAATGTGGTCGGTAATTAAAGTAAAATTAATTATAAATATGGTTTAATATTAGCTCAAGAAAATCAATTAAAACCTTGAAAATATCTAAGGATAGTAGACGAAACGTTGATTGTCGTGTTTTGACAAGTATAAAAACTTTTTCCTTAAACAATTGGTTTTGATATCTTCATTCAATTGATAGTTGCAACTATTGCATTTGTAAAGCCAAATAGGATTAGAAAAGGATAGCGAATTAGGCTTGGTGTTCCGACATCTTTATTTTCTTAACTTAATAATGTGTTAAGTTAAATGGAAAATATCCCTTAAAGTAATTCCTTTTCGCGCTTTACAAAACCTTAGCAATTTGGATTTTCCCATTTATTCTTACCGTGCCTACGCTTTTATTTTCGGTTTATTTCTTGTTCAAGTTCAGCCTGGTGAATTATTAAATAATCCGCAGAACGTAAATACGACATTTTGAAACAACCAATGTCTTTACTTATAATTATACTTTCCCTCTCATTTTAAATTCACTACGTCGACTGAACAAGGTACCAATATAATACCTATTTATGTGTTTTAGTAAATATTTTTTGGTCTGGTAATTTTGAAGAATTCCAGTTTTTTCTCCATTTTCTTTTAATAAGACCCAGGAGATAAACTAAAGGGGTTACAGACAATACGACAGTTATCTATTACCTACATGTAACCTAATTCGTAAATGGGGTATGACCTGAATAATGATAAGGGTATATGAAATGAAGATTATTATGTCAGATTTCCTCAACGAAGCATGCATTACGTGATGGCAAATTTAATTATGTATGTATATAGAAATAATGACTGCATCAAAGTATTGCTATATGCTGCTGGGAATTTTTAAATTTACAAAATTGTGGGGGTTGTCGTTGATGGAACTTAAAGAAAAACGAAAGGAAAAAACGAAAAACGCTGAGATAACGTTCAATGTAACATCAAAATGCAATTGTGACCCACCTGCATTGAGGTTTGTCGAAATAATCACATGTCACCGTGTCTAACATCGAAGACAATCGGTTACATGGACAAAACGATGCACAACAGCGAAAGCACTGCAAAGCGTAATGTGTTTAGTGTGGGCTCTGCAAGTATACAGTAATAAGCTTTGAATGGATTGTGAACGGGCCTTATTGTCGCCTCTATGCGACAAAATAAATCGATATTAAGAAATGACCCACAAATGTAGTTGGTCGGATGCAGAATTCGAAGGCTCTCTGACTTTTGGTAGTTTTGACTTATATTAAAGCCACTCTACTTACATCAACTTTCTTTATTATGATTGTATGTCCTTGAAAAGTCATGTAAGGTATTAGTCTTCATTTATTGCTAGTTGGTGGGACTAACTCGGAATAATTTCGCGTTGGACAATGGGCACTCGCGAATGCAAACGCGTTCCGGGCCCATTTTTCTACAACTGATCGACACGATAACCCGTTCGCGTTTTCTTCAGCATCGGTTGCTCAACGGCGGCCATTTCATTCAAGCTTTTACGTCCATCTTGACGCAGGGAGCTTTGGGAAAACGCTTTAAGGAGTGGGGAGCGATGCGCCGCCGCTTTCGACCCAATTTTATTAATTACAAAGGCACATGCCGTTCCAATTACCGCATGTGCTTAGTCCAAATCTACAACCACTAAATTTTCCCGAAAGTCCGATTTCTACTAAACTCCTTCCATCTAAATTCAGCGACTGTTGATCAAACTGGACGACGTGGAAAAACTGAAGCCCAAGTTGGTACAAATTCTTACACCTGCCCTCTTTTCCACTAGACTCTGTGACGCTTGTGACGTCACGAGTTTGGTGTTGTTGCGAAAAACGTTGTCATGGATACAATGCAACTGTTACTGCTGTTGCTTACGAAATCGATAGGGGAGGGGCCCGCGCATTTTCACCCTAATGTTTCTAACCCTTGCGCTCAGATGCCACTAGCTTTCCTGAATTTCCAATCTTTCTTCTTAGAAATCTGCAGGCGTTACTATTTCCCGAAAGCTCCGTGCGAGAGCTTTCAATCTCTCGTCAACCGGAGAAGAGTGTGGTGCATAATTTATTACTTTAGATTGTTTTATGAAATTTTAAACACAGCAAATGACTACTCTATCGAAATTTGCCTAAAATTTGCGAGCTTTCTGAATATAGACCCTTTACTAACGAAAACACAAGTTCATAAATGTTTTATAATATTTGAAATGATGAAATTTAGGGTTATTTGTAAATAAATAACAATCAAAACAACAAATAGTGTATAATAATCCACATGAAGTTAATATCCTCCCTGTAATAGTCTCTGAGATGGTTGATATCATACAGAAAAGCTTTTTGACTTGAAAAGAAGTTTAGATACCGTAGGAATGACATAGAGGGCGACTAATATGACGAACATTCCTTCACCCCTGGGGATATAACTGTAATCTTTTGAAATTGAGACATAAAGCGATTTTGGAACAATGCAGTTGAAATGCATAGGTATAGATCATACTTCAAATGACATTTGGCATTTTTATCAACTTTAAACCGAGACCTAATGCTGGAAAATGATATCAATATTCTCGCTCTCTATCCGGCTCTAAGAAAAGTACCTAATTTTTTATGAAATATAAATTTTATTA